TTTTTTTTAAAAGACAGGGTCTCACTCTGTCTCCCAGGCTGGAGTACAGTGGCACAGTCATACCTCACTGCAGCCTCAAACTCCTGAACTCAAGCCATCCTCTCACCTCAGTCTCCAGAGGAGCTGGGACTACAGGCGCACACCACCACGCCAGGCTTAATTTTTGTGTGTGTGGTTTTTGTTGTTGTTGTTTTGTAGAGACGGGGGTCTCCATATGGGGTCCAGGCTGGTCTCGAACTCCTGGGCTTACGCAATCTACCCGCTTCAGCCTCCCACACTGTTGGGATTATAAGCATGAGCCACCATCCCCGGCCCTTATCCTCATGTTTGTACTAATTTCACCCTGATTTTACTCCCCTCCTTGGTCATTTTGCTGAGATTCCTTCCAACCCTCACTGCTCCCCGTGTGTGTATATTTACATACATACATATATGTGCATGCCATACATGTATGGATGCTATCACAGGTGAGAGCATGTACACACACTTGTATTTAAGCCAATAATCCTATTATTTATGTTCATGTTCAAATTGCCCTAGATTTGAGCAGCAGGAGTCCCTTTGAGCTGGCTTCTGTCTTTTGACTGGTCCCCTTAATTTTCGACCAGTTCCTTACTTTCTGGTCCAATAAGGTACCCTCGGCTTATCTTATACTTTCCCTGCCCCAGTCCTGGAAAGGAGCTCTTGTTCTTTTTAGTGGAGAGTACTTAGTATTTGGAAACCAAGATCCGGGCACAGTGTGCTCACAGCTAAGGAAGTATCATTGCTTCTAAGTCTTCTCAGCAGACAGACTCAGGAAACAGATGTTCATACAGTTGAGCCTTAACACAGGCTGGAACTTTGTGGATCTACTAATACATGGATTTTCCTCCCCATCTACAACTGCTGCAACAGCAACTCTTCCTCCTCAGTCTACTCAATAGGAAAACACACAAAGGCCTTTATGAGGATCCACTTCCACTTAATGAATAGTAAGTATATTTTCTCTTCCTTATGATTTTTGCAGTAACATTTTCTTTTCTCTAGCTTACTTCATTGTAAGAACACAGTATATCATACATAGAACACACAAAATATGTGGTAATCAACTATTTCTGTTATGGGTAAGGCTTCTGATCAACAGTAGGCAATTAGTAGTCAAGTTTAGGGGAAGTCAAAAGTTATATGCAGACACCCAACAGCGCAGAGGTGCTAACCCCAACATTGTTCAAAGGTCAACTGTCTACACAGAGCACGTGTGTTTATACAACATACAATCACTACTTCTGTATCTACCTATATATTTGCAAATCCATGACTTCCTACCAAGAAATCTAATTCTACTCCAGTTCTTCAGGTTTCTTTCCAGTCTCTCTCCTTCCAAATCTGTGAATTTCTTCCCAGGCGGTAAGAAGCCTGGTTCTCCTTCTCAACATGTCTGCTTATGTGCTCACTTAACATCTCTGCTCAGCACAAGCAATCTCCCAAATGCCCCAGCAGCCACCTCTGTCTCATCACCACTCACTCCACCATCCCTGCTGCAGACACCTCCACAAAGGTCCCCCTCTCCTTCACCACTCGACTTCTTCAGAGGCTTATTGTCTGCACTGGGAATGGAAGGCTTTTTTTCTTCTCTTGAGAACAGGTCTCACTCTGTTGCTCAGGCTGGAGTACACTGGCACAATCACGGTTCACTGCAGCCTCGACCTCCCAGGCTCAAATGATCCTCTCACCTCAGCCTCCCGAGTACAGGGACTACTCACATGCACCACCACCTCCAGCTAATTCTTCTCTACTTTTGTGGAGACAGGGTCTCACTATGTTGCCCAGGCTGGTCCTGAACTCTGGGGCTCAAGTGATCCTCCCAGCTCAACGTCCCAAAGTGCTGGGATTATAGGCGTGAGCCACCATCCCCAGCCACTATTTTTTAATGGTACCATTTTTAGGTAAGTTACACACTGAAAAATTTGCATAAAATCAGTAGAATGGCTAAAACCTTGCAATTTCCAATTATAAGTTCCAAGCACATATGAAGGCATCTTCTAATTACAATAATGTTAGACCCCAAACATTACAATAGGTAACATTTGAGCATTTACATGGTTCTTTAATCCTCACAATAACCTATATGGTAGGACACTAATGCCATCCATCTATCCAATAAAAGATCATTGCTGCCTTGTTTTCTTTACATGCTTTAGGAATTAAACATTTCCAAATAAACTAGCTTTAAATTAAGCCTTATTATTTTAGTATTGTAAATCTGATTGAAAGAGAAAACATCTGTAAAAAACTTCTTTTCTGATTATAAAAACTAATCTGTATCACTGTAAAACAGAGAGACAGACACAAATAGTCCCATTTGGGGGGCAAAAAGAAAAGGGATAAGACTAAAGCTAACCATAAGCCCACTCCTCAGGTGACTGCTGTTATATTTTGACGTGATCATTTCTAATCTCTTTTAAACACACACACACACGCACACACACACAAAAGTCTGTAGTTTTGGTATTCTACTTTCCTTACAACATTGCGATAAAAATATTTTGCCCATGTTCTTAAATACTTCCTACCCATTCTTATTATCTTCTAGGGACTCTTTATGAATCCTAAAATTCTGCACACTGTATTTCCTTCCAGGAAGAATTCTATTCTACTCTCTTCCCCACATTCTTCAGGAGACAGAAATCACAAAAGTTCAAAATTAGTTCCTTAAAATATTCTTTAAATTTGAGGCAATTTCCATTCTTCTGGAAAACCCATTTCCTAAAAGCCATCTTGCTACTTTCTTGATTTCCATTTATCACTCTAGATTATGGAAAATGAAGACTCAATTTCTCAAAAAAAAAAAAAAAAAGTCTAGGCACTTTTACAATACAATAGGTATTATCCAATGGGGAAAAATAGGTTTTCACTTTTAAATAACTTTTACCTTTTTCTGATTATAAAAGTTTTGCTTTTTTACTAAAATTAAATACTAAAAAGATGATCAAAATATTTATGATGTTATAATGCAGAGGCAGTTAACATTTGATTATGTTTCCTAAAATACATATAGTGGCTGGACGCAGTGGCTCACGGCAGTAATCCCAACACTTTAGGATATTGAGGCAGGTGGATCACGAGGTCAGGAGACTGACACCATCCTGGCTAACACGGTGAATCCCCGTCTCTACCAAAAAATACAAAAAAATTAGCCGGGCATGGTGGCAAGTGCCTGTAGTCCCAGCTATTCGGGAAACTGAGGCAGGAAAATGGCATGAACCCGGGAGGTGGAGTTTGCAGTGAGCCGAGATAGGGCCGCTGCACTCCAGCCTGGGTGACAGGGCGAGACTCCGTCTCAAACAAACAAATAAATGCAACACACACACACACACACACACACACACACACACCACAACTGGGACTTTTTTCAACAATATGTTGTTTTATATACCCAGCATTTTATCTTTATTATAATAAAAAACTGACATCAAGGAATGAGATGAATGGCCAAGAAATGAGCAAATTACAGTGTCAATGAGGTATAGCAGATGATACAGAATGAGTGACCCGCGTTTCAAAAGTGCTGATGTTTCTGATTTAAAAAAAAAAAAAAAAAGCTAAAAATTAACATTTTGAAGAGCAGAGACGCCACCTAGATCACGTGTTCTCAATACTGAAGGTGAGGCCGAGAGAAATTCTGAGTTGCAAGAGTGTTTATTAAGAAACAGCCAAACAAAATCAAGACAGGAATATTTAGAAAAAAGGTTGAGAATGCACGGCGATTTACTGATGACCACACATCCTTAAGTGCGAGACAATACAAAAAAAGGCTTTTTTTCAATAAACTGTCATTTCCCCATTTCTCTACAGAAAATGAATACTGTTGTCAATTGTATAAGTTCTGAATATATTAAGGATTCCAACCAGGTCATTTTGTGAAACATTTCAAATGATAGCTTAGCTTCAAAGTTTGCTCAGAAGATTTCAAGACTGAATATTGCTCATTACCATCTAAATATTTAATGCCTCTGAAAGTTTTTTTGGTTTATATAAGGTAAACAGACCCCCGCCTTCCCCACAGGTGTGTTATAAACACACTTCCACAAATAAATGAGCTGTGCAAGGAGTTTCACTGAACATCCCAAAAGACTGATGTTTCCCCACAGCTCACCCCGGAGCTTGAGGCAGAGCGCTGGCTTCAAGGGCATTCACCTATGCGTTCACAGGGCCCTGTGCGCAGAAGAGCTTCTGCTTGGTTTAATGATCAAATGCCTCTGATCTGAAACTCTTCATTATCTCTAAATAAAGGGCACTATTTTCTTCATTTTACCTTGATTCTGGAAGTTGTATATACAGTCCTGCCTGAAGGTTCTCATTCTGGCCAGTCCTGCACTTGATAGATGAGGTCCAGACAGAAAAGGCGAATTTCCACAAATTATACAGCCAGTAAGTGGAGGGGAAAACAGGAGTTATAATCTCAAGCAGGGGTCCCCAACCCTCAGGCTGCCAACCAGTACTGGTCCATGGCCTGTTAGAAATCGGGTCACACGGCAGGAGGTGAGCGGCAGGTGAGCATAACCGCCTGAGTCGACCTTCTCTCAGATCAGCGGTGGCATTAGATTCTCATAGGAGCACGAACCCTATTATGAACTGTGCACGCAAAGGATCTAGATTGTGCACTCCTTATGAGAATCTAATAATGCCTGATGACCTGAGGTGGAAGTTTCATCACGAAACCATACCCTATCTTCCCCCACCTCCATTCCATCTACAGAAGAATTGTCTTCCTTAAAACCAGTCCCTGGTGCCAAAAAGGTTGGGGACCACTTATGTAAACTATCTAGTGTTCTTTTTACATAACTGTTTTCTGCTGCCTGCAAAATATTCTAAATAATCTCAACATCGGCCAGGCATGGTGGCTCACCCCCATAATGCCAGGATCTTGGGAGGCTGACAAGAGGATCACTGGAACCCTGAAGTTTGAGAGCAGCCTGGGCAACACAGTGGGATGCCATCTCTACCAAAAAGAAAAAAAAATTAGCTGGGTGTGCTGGCATGCACTGGCAGTCCCAGCTACTCAGGAGGCTGAGGCAGGAGGATTACTTGAGCCTAGGAGGTTGAAGCTGCAGTGAACAGTGGTTGTGCCAATGCACTTCAGCCTCAGCAACAGAGTGAGACCCTGTCTCCAAAAAAAAAAAAACTCAACATCATTAAACTCAATATTCTACTACCTGCAGGGACAATTCTGGGGTAACTAGAATGAATCCACACATACCCATTTTGGATTTTTAAGTTTTGTCACATTATAGTCATACCACATATTTTATAACTGTTTTCACAAATTGTGACACCACAGCAGCAAAGAAAGAATCTACTCCAGGACTCTATCATTAGCCCAGGTGAATGTCCTAACAATCCTCAAATAGAAGTTGACACATAAATTATAAAAATAAGAGGCTTTATCATCTACACTCCCAAGTATAGGGAACTGTACGTTAAAAAAAAAAGTTAGAAACAAAATTTACACAAAAGGTATTCACCCTCAACTTTTTTTTTTTTTAAGACAGATTCTCGCTCTGTCGCACAGGCTGGAGTGCAGTGGCACAATCTCAGCTCACTGCAACCTCCGCCTCTTGGGTTCAAGCAATTCTCCTGCCTCAGCCTCCTGAGTAGCTGGGATTACAGGCGCACTCCACCATGGCCAGCTAATTTTTGTATTTTTAGCGGAGACGGGGTTTCACCATGTTGGCCAGAATGGTCTCGATATCTGGACCTCGTGATCCACCTGCCTTGGTCTCCCAAAGTGCTGGGATTACAGGTATGAACCACTGCGCCCGGCCCACTCTCAACTTCTAATTGTGAAAGAAATGAAGAGCAGACAACAACCACATTCCCATCCATCTACCTGTGTGTCTTTCATTATGTGCTGTGAGTTGGTCACAAAGCTATCTCACGACATTCCTAACAAGACCTCAAATTACACTCAACATCCTCTGACCAGTTTGTCAATGAGGAACCTCCAGCATCAACTAGTGTTGAGAGGAAAAACATCCACCACGTGATCAAAATGACATACAGTATGCTGCTTAATACCATTCTCCTGAATCTCTTCATCCAAGACTTGGCAGAAAGCACACATTTTCCAAAGGAAAATAATCAAGACCAATAGCAACTGTGAACACCAATGCATTAGTAAATATGCATAAAATGTAGGGAAGACATTCCACTCAAACGATAAGCTTATCTGGGAACAAAAATCAAGATACCCAGTTAAAGGAGAAGAAATGTAGTGCATTATAAATTCAATGCCTTAAAGTGGAGTGCTCTTTTGTCTGTTACAGAAATAGCTGACTTAGAGTTAAGGTAACAGAGCTTATCCTTAGAATTGACCCAGAAACTGCAGGAAAAGCCGCCAGGTGGCAGAATGTCCCAAGCCTCAACCAACTGTAGAGCAGTTCGTCACACCAAGAGCTGACCAGCAGATGGCACCATACCCTCAGTTTCTCAGTACCAATAGATCAGCGTTGTCTTCATTTAAGGCTTTTCATACAACAAACAAATGAAAAATACACTCAAACATCTTTTTATAAAGAAAGCTTCCATTTCCTTACATTCTGAATGTTGATCTGTAGTTCCATTTTGTAGTGATTGAAGTCTTTGGCAAGTTCATGGCCCTGATGATAGAAGGTAAACATCCCCTGAAAAAATGACAGCATCTAAGACACAGGAAGAAAAGAGGTATTAGCACAAAACAACTCAGGAGAAAAAAGAATCATATAAACAAGCAAGGGTTCCCCCCGCCATCTCACTGTTATTCCACTGAAATAAAGTGATTAAAGGGAAGTCAATAATATTCAAGTAAACCCAAATACACTATTAATTGATCTTTGTAGAAAATGATGCTTTTTTCCCTTAAATATCACAGCCATTAGGCAGCTTGTATGGCATGTTCTGTAGGAAAAATTGAATTATAAAGTCATCCATTTGTCCTCTTTAGTCAGGAGAATCCCAGTATTTGTAATTGAAATCTTATCACTATAGGTTGATACAATCTATAAGAAACTAAAATCACAGAATCGAAGAGCTCCAGACTCTCCCCAGCCACAGCCAACAGAGTGCAATCCCTGTGTTTTGTTGACAAAGATATTCCATGACTTGCCAGGGGCAGCCTCAAACCTGTAATTAAACCTTTAGTTTTCTACCAACTCCCAACCTGTCTCTAATTAGAGAGCTGTTGCCTCTGCTCCACATGTGAGTCAATAAATCTAAAGTGAAGAGAAGTGATTTGGGGAGAGAGTTAAGGAAATACTGAGATTCATTTTCTTCCAAATGCCACACCGTGGGTGGTTAGGAATCTGGGGCTGTGACACCAAATGCCCAGCAGGCTCCATTCCCAACATCAGCCATGACTTGTTATGGGACCTTGGGCAAATTATTCAACCTTTCTCTACTTTTATTTCCTTATCTCCTCATTGAGTAATAGTGTGGACTAATGAGTTTGGTACAACACTTAGAACAATGACTTGAACAGCGACTGAGCATTATAAATGCCCAATAAAAGCAGGCATTTACTGTTATTTCACATAAAAAGAAAGATTTTGAGGAGGTTTACTTTTTCTCTACTGGTTTAGGTTAATGACTATCGCTGCAAGTAAACCATAGCTCCACAAATGCTCATTTTTAATCATTACTTAGTTATTCTTGTTTCTATAAACCATACACACTATGGGTAAATTGTGTAGTGTGTGAATGTTATCTTAATAAAGCTGTTTAAGAAAAAGAAACCATTCAACAAGTTGATATTAAAATTAAAATGAATCCTGAAAATGAGTTCGTTTTGCTGAAATCCACATGAAATATCCTTTACATTATGTTATATATATTCATGTGCATGTATCTTCATAAATAAACAACTGAAGCTACTAGCAAATATCTATATAATCACAAACAAAAACCATGTGTTTCTAAAGTAAGTAAAAAAAAAAATGTCAGAGTAACTCATAAAATTGTCTCAAATGTTCCATATCCTGCTTCTAAACTTAGATTGCCATAAGCATTGTGAGTTGTGTTCGAAGTCATGTTACAAACAATTGTTTAAAGTATCAAAGTTTGAACTGGTATAAACAACCCATGTTCACTCATTCTAGTATAAATTATTTCAGAGAAATTTTTTAAAGACAGAGCTATAGGCTAAGGTAGCAGAAATTGCACTTGTTTGCCTTCCTTGAGATCATGTAGCAATGGGAATATTACATGTTGCAGTGCAAATACAGTTGAGAAACACGGATTTAGAGGCAATTCCTTGAATTCATGGCTGTGTTTGCCCTTTTCAATATGTCTCTTTCATGTTTATGCACTGTGGCCTCTAATAACTATAAACCAAAAATCAGACCTAGGAAGATAAACACTTATCTTATATTGCAAAACTCCACCAGCAAACAACTTGGCAATAATACTCACAGGTTCCACAAACTCAAACTTCTTTCGTTCTTGGATTTCCTGCAGCTTACACACATACTCGAGAGACAGTTCATAGAAGTGTTGCCGGTTCTGCTCCACTTGGATATCTGCCTATGTTAGAATCACAGAGGTTAGGCAAACTGGAGACGGTGAAAAGTGAAACTCTACATCAGGTCATCACACTGTGGTCCATGGGCCAGAATACGTTGTGTTGCCTGATTTTGTAAGTAAAGTATTGCAACACAGGCACAACCATTCATTTAGGTATCGTCTGCAGCTACTTTCCTGCTGCAACAGCAGAATTGAGCAGGTGCAACAGGAACTTTATGGTCCACAAAAGTCTAAAATATTTACTATCAGTTTCTTTGCAGAAAAAGTTTGACTCCTACTCTGTATGTTGAGGTTGACCCGCAAGAACTGAAGATCAAAGAGGTTTCTCTTCATGAAAAACTCACCCCAACCACAACTGATGCCCCAAGGCTGAACCACATGCAATCACAATCCACAAACATTTCTATGAACAAATCCTTTCAGAATAAAGTCTGCCTGAGAAAGGACCCAGCACCTCAGCACTCAGGGAGTGATGGCGGCAGGTGAGGAGGAGCCAGCCATGGCAGCATCTCAAGAACCCAGTTCTCAAAGGCGGGCCAGGGCTGGACGCCCATCTGCAGCCCTCACAACATCTCATGCCCTGGGAGGGAAACGGGTACCAGCTGGTCAGGAGGCTATTCCAAAAAAAGCTTCCAGCTTAGCTTGTCTAACTAGAAAGGAACTAGAAGAAGAGCATGACTCCACAGAGAATAGTGGAGAGAGAACTCATGTCCAAGAAACCATTCTTACTAGGCATCATGTGATATTTTTCCTAACTTAGCTAATTTTACTCTTAAAAATATTTATCTGGGCATTTCTCCAGAGAGGATATACAAAAGGCCAATAAGCACATGAAAAGACACTCAACATCGCTCATCATTAGGATGTAAATCAAACTCACAATGAGATGCCACCTCACACCCATTAGGGTGGCTACTATCCAAAAAAGAAAAGGAGTGGTGTTGGTGAGGATGTCAAGAAACTGCAACCCTTGTGCATCATTAGTGGGAATGCAAGATGGTACAAGCACTGTGAAAAACAGTGCTTTAAGTAATACTGAAATATAATGTGTTACTAAGCTAAACTGAAAATTTCTACCTAACACTCCTCAAAATCGCACTTTTGTGCCTTCATTAACCAGAATTCAATAGTTCAGCCACCAGCAGTTAACAGGCACAACTCCCAACAAAAAATTAAATTTTTCCCTCAAATTCAAAATAGTATTACCACATGACCCAGCAATTCTACAGGTGGGCATATACCCGAAAGAACTGAAAGCAGAGGAACAGATATGTGTACACCCCTGTTCATAGTAGCAGGGGGAAAAGTGACCCAAATGCCCACGGATGGATGGATGGATGGATGGATGGATGGATGGATGGATGGACGGACGATTCATATGTATAACAGAATATTATTCAGCCTTAGACAGGAAGGAAATTCTGATACATGCTACGACATGGATGAACCTTGAGGACATCAGGCTAAGTGAAATAAACCAGTCACAAAGGGACAGATACTATATGATCTCACTCATATGAGACCCCTAGAGTAGTCGAATTCATAGAAACTGAAAGCAGAATGATGGCTGCCAGGGGCTGGAGCAGGGGAGAATGGAGAGTTATTGTTAACAGGTACAGAGGTGCAGTCTGGGAAGATTTTTGAAAAAGCCCTGGAGATGCATGGTGGTAATAGTTGCAAAACAATGTGAATGTACTTAATACTACTGAGCCATATACTTTACAATCAAATCATACATTTTATTGAAATTTTATTCATATATTTTATAACCAAAAATGTGTTTTTGAAAAGCATTTAATACATTTGAAACAACACATTTCAAAACGTAATAAAAAACATTTCAGCAAATACTTTAATATATATTACTAAGCTAAAATGAGAATTTCTACTTAACACTCCTCTGAATCATATTTTTGTGCCTCCAATAACCAGAGTTTGATAGTTCAGCCATCAGCAGTTAGTTGGCACATCTCCCAGCAAAAACACAGTAATTTTGTTGAGTATTTAACAAAATAAAGACATAAGAAGGGTGGTTTCCTCATTTGTCATTACTGGAAAGGCCCTTGAAGAAATTTATACCAGCAACAGATTTATCAATTTGATTTTATCTTTTAGCAAATTCTCTCTCCTGGTTGTTCTTGCTACTGTAATGACCCTTGCATTACCAGTCAACCTCTATCACCACCCCCTTAACGTTCTGAAAATCCAGAACTGTTGTGCCACATGCTCCATGATTAACTCACCATAATCCCTGGGATCACTGGCAATGATGGCAGTAGCGGACAGTCTGGAGCAGCCGCTGTGGGGACACCAGCTGCAGAGCGCAAAGTGTGGCCAGGGCTGCGCACACCATGGTACCCGCGGGGGCCAGAAACAGGCAGGAGTCCCAACTTCTATGGAGTTGTCAGGGCAGGAGCCCCATGTTCCCAGACACAGCTGCAGCCACACGGCCACAGCTCTGGGCCAGGGCATCCCCATGCTCTTGAGGGCCGGGGAAGGCCCACTGCCCCGCCAGCAGACTTGAGAAGTGCCTGCTCCTGCTCTCTGGCTTCTCCTCGCTCCCAGCACCTGATCCAGTGTGGAGCAAAGTTGTAGCCAAGCCTAGGTACTGTTCCCACCCGGCCGAGTATGTGTGCACTAGGGTGGTGCTGACATGCCAGCGCCCCCAGTAACCCCAACCTCCAGCTCGGCCCACTCTGGACTTTGGATGCCAACAAGCACAGGAGGGAGGCCAGGGAGCTGAGAGCAGCTCGACAGAGGCCTATCGGCATCTCTTGGCGCAAATACTTTGGGTGCCGTAGATGACATGTTGACAGCTGCAGGAGACAGACAGGTTCCTAGGTGGGAAGGGAGAGGTCCCTGGTGAAACCCCACCTTTAAGCCAGGATGGCCTGAAGCCTGGGAGCCGCTGGGCTGCCAGTTCTGGGTGGAGTCTGCAGACAGGAATGAAAACTTACGGTGCTTTTTCCAGGCCCACCCATGGCTGCACATGGACCAGTCAGCACACTTCCTCCCTTCTGAGCCCAGAAAAACCCTGCACTCAAACAGACTCAGAAAGACATGGGGACTACCAGCTGTTGGAAGAAGCAACCCCCGGGGGTCTCCTCCACTAGTCAGGATGACCTGCTTGTAGAAAGGAGCTACACACTAGAGGTCTCCCCTCCACTGAGAGCTGGACACTCATTATGATGACCTGCCTGCGGAAAAGGGCTACTCACTTCAGGTCTCCTGAGAACTGTCCTGTTGCTCAATGAAGTTCCCCTCTACCTTGCTCACCCCTGCAACTGTCTGCATACCTCATTCCTCTTGGATGTGGGACAAGAACTTGGGACCCAAGGAATGGCCAGATTGAAGGAGCTGTAACACAAACAGGGGTGAACCTCCCCCTCCCCTGCTCGCCACATTGTGGGTGATGAGAAGGAGAGAAGAACTGTGGTCCTTCAGGGAGCCCAGATCTAGGGGCTCCCTGAGCCAGGGCTGTGACACCCTCTTTGGGGCTCTGTGGTTCCTGGTGTCTGTAAGTTTCCAGGCGCCACCGTGCCCACAATGGAAGCGACCTGCAGTATGCCTGGTCTAGCCACAGCCTTGCACGGAGCCGGTGCCTGTGCCTGGAGCTGCCTGCCCCACCACGGTCGGCATGCCTGGCTGCACACAGTGGCCAGACCCTGAACTCACTCACGAACCCCTCGCCACTCCATGCCTGACTCGCCTTTGGCAGGCATGAGATCCAGGCCAGTAGCACAAGCCCAGCGCAGCCTGCCGAGAGGAGCTGGCAGAACAAGCCCAACGGGCCAGAGCAAAACTCAGGCAAATGCATCACCAGCCACAAAGGTTTCTGCACCCTAAAGATCCCATGACAAGAGCCCTCTCTTACAAGAATGCCATGGACGTCCAAGTTGTAACTAGGGTCATAAAATGATTTCCTTCAGCCTGACCTTTAAAAATGAATCTAAAAGGCAATCACTATACATTTGACAACTCCAAGCAAATCACTAGTTTTTAACAAATACACAATTTCGCTTTGATTATCAACTAATTTCTAGTCTTTCCAGCTGTAAATATATGTAAGAAAGTAGACAAGTCTCACACAAAGTTATTCAGGGAATCTGCTTCTCAAGTAGATTATTATTACACTGAAATATTATCATTTGGCTACTTAGGAAGAAAAAATAGACTTCAAAAATAGAAATGGAATTTTCTCAAATATCCAATACCTGTTACTGTACAACTGTTAAGTAGAATGTAGGGGTGTGGATGAACGTAGAAGCTATTATGCCCAATAAACATAAAGGTATAGTAGCAAGGCCTCAGAGAACTGCCAAAATAGCCAGCATGGTGCATGCCCAATTCTCTCCTGATTATTCTACTCTACTCTACTCTACTCTACTCTACTCTACTCTATTCATTTTTTGAGATGGAGTCTCACTCTGTCGCCCAGGCTGGAGTGCAGTGTCGCAATCTCAGCTCACTGCAAGCTCCGCCTCCTGGGTTCACACCATTCTCCTGCATCAGCCTCCCGAGCAGCTGGGACTCCAGGCACCTGCCACCACACCCGGCTATTTTTTTGTATTTTTAGTAGAGACAAGGTTTCACCGTGTTAGCCAGGACGGTCTCCATCTCCTGACCTTGTGATCCACCTGCCTCGGCTTCCCAAAGTGCTGGGATTACAGGCATGAGCCACCACACCCGGCCATCTCCTGTTATTTTCAATTGAAACAAGAGGAGAGAATGAATTATGTACGTTTCTAAGCCTTTGTTCAGTATCATTCCCTGCAACTTTTACAATCTCCTGAGCATCTCAATTCACTCAAAATTAGCATTACATTAACCACTGCCAAAAGTAATGAATATCCAAACCTAACATTTTCCCCTTCAAAAATCATACCCCCTATTAAGGGCTTTACACTGAAAATAGAAGGCTGTTTCAGTGTGAGCACATAAGTTTGTAAAGAGCAAACAGAGCAAGATAAAAAAGTGTATGTAATTTAAATGAAACAAATTATTCATCTTTAGGATCTCTTCATGTTTCCGGAGGTGAATTATCTTTGGGACTGATAAATTACTGGAGCCCCAGCTCACTGTACAAGCATCTCCACACTTGTTCATTCAATAACTGTACATTAAGTACCTAACTCCCTAAAAGGTACTGTTCTAGGCACTGAAGATAGAACACTGAATAAGACAATGTTGTTGCCTTCAAGGAGCTTACATTCTAGTGGAAGAAGCCACGTAATAAATGAACAGTATGTCAAAACGGTTATAAGACCATGAAAAAAAAATAGGCTGAACCCTGTGGCTCATGCCTGTAATTCCAGCACTTGGGGAGGCCAAGGCAGGTGGATCGCCTGAGGTCAGGAGTTCTAGACCAGCCTGGCCAACATAATGAAACCCTGTCTCTACTAAAAATACAAAAAATTAGCCGGGCGCGGTGGTGGGCGCCTGTAATCCCAGCTACTCAGGAGATAGTGGCAGGAGAATCGCTTGAACCTAGGAGGCGGAGGTTGCAGTGAGCCAAGATCTCACCATTGCACTCCAGCCTGGACGACAAGAGTGAAACTCCAACTCAAAAAAAAAAGGAATATGAAAAAAATATAAAGCAGAGTAAAGGGGACATTCTAAATAAGAAGGTCAGGAAAAACTTCTAATAAACTGACCTCTGAGTGGAAGGTATTTGGAAGAGTACTTGAAGGTCTGAGACACATGGATGCGCGTTGGAAACATACCAAGCAGAAGGAAAACAAATGCCACGGCCCTCAGTATATACTATGCTGACCCCAGCTGGGTTGGGTGCAGAACACACAGCATCCTGTGGGCCCTGGGGCCTCTGGAGAAGCCATTAGGAGGGTTTGGAGAAGAGCGAGTCATGAGAAGTGGATACACTCAGATTATATTCTGGAACTAAAGATGACATACTGATGGACTAGATGGGAGGCGTAAGAGAAAGGGCCAAGGTGACTCCAAAGATGTTGCCTAAGAAAAGTTTAAAATGAGATACCTAATGAGAAAGTGAAGTGGATTTGGAAATTTACTTGGGGAATGAAAATCTTTTTTAGGATACCTGAAAATGGAGGTGAGAGCAGAGGTAGAGAACTGCTAGCATAAAGGGGGTCTGTAAAAGCTACAGCTATCATCTCAAAATTGACAGAGGGCAGGAGATGAGGGAGCACACAATAATATGTAACAAGTAGAGAACAGGGCCCTACCCAAAGTAAAAGCAGTAAGGATGAAGTGGTGTAAAAGCTCCTTTTTCTTTTATGAACTGTCAAGTGCCATCCAAATGTCAGTCAAAGACATTAGAGAGACAAAAGAAAAAGTCACATGTGGATGTCGAACCAACCATACACACACAGAGTGTGTAACTACATAGCTGACATTTAAATATAATCCAGGTTTACACAAGACTTAATACTGTGTCATTTTGATAATACTTTAGCAAGTGTTTATGACAGTAGTACATAATGCCCAGATTCCTTATGTGTTAAAAAACAAGGGAAAAAAATACAATTTTGTGGGATCAGACAAAATACTAACAATGGCAAACAGCATTACTTTTAATAAAAGCATTATGTTTTGAATTGTAAACAACTGAGTTTCCATCCAAGTGTGAGAGAGAAACAAATGGCAGGGGATTTAGAAATAAACAACAAGAAAATGAAAAATAAAATATAAATTCCTTCCTGCTTATATATGGCTGCCTCTGAAATAAATGAGTCTATTAATACAAGTAAAACAGATGCTCCCTTTCCAACGAAGCTGAATTTCCTGAATCCTCAGCATTAAATAAGATTAATGCTGCCTTCACATAAATGCATAATGGCATATGAGCTTATTAAATTCAATTCATTTCTTCAAGAACTCCTGAAAGCCAATTAATTGATCTATTCCTGCAAATAATATATCTGTTCTTCACTAATGCTGGTTTAAAGTTATGTTCCTATAAAATAATACTCAGAAACAAAAATTTTACTACTATAAATCCATACCTCAGTAATCGCTATAAGATGTATTATTTTGTCTTGTTTCACAAGGACTTTTTTCTTAATTTATGACACTATCTGTTCACTTTTTGTTATCTCTATATAATGCCAGATGAAAAGTTATCAACAGTAAAGCACATTTTTAAAAGACATGTATTGCTTATTAAATTTTGAAAACTTAACAGAAAAATAAAAAATTATACCTCTTGTAAATGTGAGTCTTTCTTTTTTGCTGATAAATTCAAATGTTTATCAATTAGACTATAATTCTTTTCTGTCTCTTTGTCAAACTTCTTTTTTTCTTCCTGCAAAAAAAAAAGAAAAAAACCATGGTTAAACAGAAATGAAAGGACACATATACTTAATCCACTGGGAAGCTCAAATTATGAAAAATATCTGAAAATAGAACAAAGCACCACTCTGAATGTAACAAAGCTATCTAAAAAAAACATATCAGTACCAAGCCTACTGCTTAATCATCAAGACAGCATTAGGACAGAAGAGACACTTTTATTTCTTCCTTTAATGGACTTTTTTCCAAGCCTATGTTATTTTTCAGTTCTTCATACTTAGCAGTAGTAAGAATTAATTCCATGTTACTCGCCCCTCACCAACCAAATGAAACAGAATACATAAGAAAAATAACATAAAGCTTAAAAAAGCAAACTTGCTCCAGATTTTGGCACAGACGTGGAATTCGTTTAAAATGGAATAATAGACCGGTGGCTCACACCTATAATCTCAGCACTTTGAGAGGCCAACCAAGGTGGGTGGATCACCTGAGGTCAGGAGTTCAAGACCAGTCAGCTATCGTGGTGAAATCCCATCTCTACTAAAAATACAAAAATTAGCAGGGTGTGGTGGCGCACACCTGTAATCCCAGCTACTCAGGAGGCTGAGGCGCGAGAATCACTTGAACCACGAGAATCACTTGAACCGCAGAGGCGGAGGTTGCAGTGAGTAGAGATCACACCACTGCACTCCAGCCTGGGCAACAGGGTGAGACTCTGTCTCAATCAATCAATCAATCAATATGTTTTACTCTAGATTTTCAAAAAATCGTAATACATAATCAAGGTTGGAAAAAAAACATCTCGGGAAAGATCTTCTGTAATGGTCCAGTATGAATACAGGTTAAGTATCCCTTCTCTGAAATGCTTAGAACCAGAAGTGGTACGGATTTTTGGATATTTTTGAATTTTGGAATATCTGTGTATATCAAGAGAGGTATCTTGGGGATGGGGCCTAAGTCTAAATGTGAAATTCATTTCTGTTTTGTATCCACCCATCACACATAGCCTGAAGGTAATTTTATACTATATTTTTAATAATTTTGTACATGAAACAAAGCTTATGTACACTGAACCATCAGAGACCAAGAGGCCAGGTGTGCAATTTTCCACTTGTAATGTCATTTCAAATTTTGGAGCATATCGGATTTCAGAGTCAGGATGATCAACCTGTATAGCAGTAAGATTCTCTGACCAGAAATGTCATCTACTTTCCCAAACCTTTCCAGTGATCTCTGTAACACTATTTAAAATATATACAAATAGGTCAACAGGGCCTAAAATAATATTGACATACTAGTACTCACCCTTTGGTTAACATCACAAACATTTCTTAGGTACTGTCTAGAATTAGGACATACTTGCATTCCATTTGCTATAGAAGCTTTTTGAGAAAACAAGTACACACATTTATAAATGCAGAGAAGACGGGCTGTCTCCCCTAAAGCTGCCAGCCAACTTCATAGATTTTTAATAAACATTCTTGATTATCAAGGAGAGCACACCATGTCCTCATGCTGTCAAAATGTTTCCATTAATTTCAAATTCTCCCTAACTCTCCACACCTCCTAAAAAAGGAACATTCTCTTCCCTAATTTTCCAATTTGTATTTTCCAAAGCAAAAGTTCTAGCCTTTTCTTGTATGATTTCTTTCCTGTTAGGCAAAGAGATTAAACAAAGCATGTTCATTCTCTACTTCTTTTATTTATCTTTTGGTTTTTTTTTTTTTTTTTTTTTTTACCACATGGGACCACGCACTGTTCTTCTGAAACCCAGGACATTATGTCCCCTGTCAGGTCATCTAAAAACCCTCAATTAATTCTCCCACACTGATGGAGGAGGAGAGACTCAGAAACTGAGGTTTCTTCCCTTTTCTACTCCAAGGTTAATTACCAACTAGCTGCACAACTTAAAAAAAAAAAAAAAAAAAAATCTGACAACACAGAACCTAAGTTTTCTTACCAAAGAAAAAAAAAAAGATCAGGGACTTTTCCTTAACTGTCTGTCTCATTCTTAGATCCCAACCTAAAATTCTGTGATCCTATGGTTCACCCATGTGTAGAAATGGAACTAAAAAAAAGCAGGAAGTTTTATTTTAACCTCTTTTACTTAATAGTCACTTTTGTTGATACACAGGACCAGAAGACTTTATTTTTCTTTATGCTGTAGGTTTTCTTTATTTACAATTTTTTAAGTCCAAGGGATTGATTATTCTCTTTTCTGCTTTTCATTATGCTCTTCCACTATTTTAACAACTAACAGAAAATAAACTGAAACCAACAGATGCCCATTACCTAAAAATGTCCACTATTTAAAAAAGCTGATGTTGTGAAGTACACACTGAATTTGGTGTCAGAAGACCAAGCTGCAGTCCTAGCCACTCATTACTCTGTAACTTTGTAACAAACATTCTCTGAGCATCTGTTTCTCAGATTTAAACAAAAGACCAATGGAAGTCAGGGCCCTGCATTTGCCCACAAGACTGCTGCAAAGCAAGGTCACATGCTAAGAAGCACTATCACTGCAGACTAGTACTTACCAGGGACATGGAAAACATTTTTACCACCTCATTTGATTTAATCTGAATCATAGAAAGCGGCCGAGGAAGGGGTGACATGGTAATCAGCAGTCAAAACACCCAGCACACCGAGCAATAGAAAGCTATGAAAATCAACATGCCGGTAAAGTTGGGAATGAAAGAAAAAGAAGACATCAAGCCTTTATGAAGAAAGAATTTAGCCAAGAAACAACAACAACATCACACCCACCAAGCTTAGAACAGAAATATCTTTGTCCATATATGGTATGGTATTATACAAATGCTGCTGTGTTTGCTTTTGAATCTTAAAATGCAGGTAATCATTTCTTCCTGCATTTGTTCTTAATGTCATTATAGAGTATTATTGTTTCTTTGTGCTCATATGATTTCTTGTGCTGAAATAATACAAATTTCAAAGGAAACTATTCAAGTAGCAGTCAATGAAGAATGGAGTTTTTTTCCCCCCCAATACTGCATTATAGAAAAAAATATATATAAATGTAATAGCATAATCCAAAAAGTTCCAACAAGGATCAAGTTAAATACAATATGAAAACTTTTCTTATAAATTAGACATTACAAAAACTGAAATGAGTCTGGGCCAGGCAGTAATCTAATGAGTGAAACAGGCTGGGAGAGAAATGCAATCAGGAGTGGTAGGCAATGAAAACCAGATAGTCCTCGTCTACTCCAGAGAAGAAGGCAGCCATTACTCAGCACCAGAACATTTTTGCCTTGTGAGAATACAGACCCAGTACATTGGCCGTGTCTTCTCATTTCTCTGGAACTGCTGAAAACTCCAATGATCTTTATGGTGGTGACACATTTTTTTTTAATTGTAACAACATGAGGAAGCCAAACAAAATTTATAAGTTGAATATGGTAGAAGTCAGCTTTCTAATCTGTTATAAAATTGCACATGCAAAACTTTTTTTAAAAGTAGAGCTACTACTTAAAACAGCATTATGGATCAAAAAAGATATACATTGTATAAATGGTAGAAGAGAAGAACCTAAGAACCACAATTCAAATAACCAGATCTTGAGGTAAAAACTATAGAAATTTGTCATTACAAATCACTGGGTTTAAAAAAAGGAAGAGACGATTCAACTATTGGTGCAGGCATGACTGTTTAACTACTGTGAAGCAGACAGAGAACCTCATCTCATATCAAAATTAATTCCAGATGGATTGAAAGAGTCACAAGTAAACAATGAAGCCATAGAGAATATTTTCAACGAATCTCAGAACAGAGAAGGATCTAAGCAAAAAAGAAATGGAAGAAGCTATAAGAACTTGTAAATATAAAAAAAAAAAAAATCACAATAATCAAGCAAAGGGCACACAGCAAAAGGGGGAGGATTACAACCAATATGTAAGAACATAGGGAAACATTCGTAACACAAAATATATCCTTCACGAAGCAGTTTTTTTTTTTTTTTTTTTGGCAAAAAACACATTAATGCTTCCACTGAAAGGTGGATAAAGAATACAAAGAATTCATAAAAGTTTAAACGTAATTGTGAATTGCCCATTTTTCTGTAGGGTACTGAATTATTTTGCTTTAGAAGAGGAAAGAATTTTTTTGTTACTAGATGACTTTTCTCGAATTTTCTACATTTTCCAATTGTTTAGGATGAGGAGATGGAAAAGGCTTATTTTCAAACTATAAAATCAAATAATGTTTACTGTTGGACTCGTCTAGAGATAAACTTAAATATGGCAGGTCCTTGAATAGCATCGTTTCATTATTACATTAATAAGGGAAAAATAAAAACCAATTCGTGGCCAGGGCCACTGTCCATGTGGAGTCTGCACATTCTCCCACGCCTGCGTGGGTACTCTCTGGGTACCTACTATTTCCTCCCACATCTCTTAGGTCAATTCACCGGCATGTCTAAATAGTACTGTGTAAGTGAGTGTGGGATCATGCCCTGTCCAAGGCTGGTGTCCACCCTGCACTCTGAGCTGCTGGGATGGGCTCCAGACACCTGTGACCCTGAACAGAAATAAGTGAGTAAATGATTACCTTGTTTTTATTAATCTTTCTTAAATATATGTATAGTTCACATTTATTTCAATATTTAATATTAAAAGTGTTGTGGTTATCATGGGAACCACCCCCGATAATTCAATGTGAGTCCTTTTCTATTTTCCCTAAGTGTCAGCTGGTCTAAGAAATAAAGGGAAAGAGTACAAAAGAGAAATTTTAAAGCTAGGTGTCCAGGGGAGACATCACATGTTGGCAGGTTCCATGATGCCCCCACCAAGCCACAAAACCAGCAAGTTTTTATTAGTGATTTTCAAAGCGGGGGGAGTGTATGAATAGGGTGTGGGTCACAGAGATTGTTTTATTGCTTCACAAGGCAATAAAATATCACAAGGCAAATGGGGACAGGACAAGATCACAGGACCAGGGCAAAATTAAAATTGCTAATGAAGTTTCGGGCATGCACTGTCATTGATAACATCAGGA